CCCCCGCTGGCCCCCCCGCGGCCCCCCCCCCCCCACCCCCCCCCACCCAGCCCCCCCCCCCCCCCCCCCCCCCCCCCGACAGTGTGAGAGGCAGAGTGCTGTACTTCCTCTGTCCGACAGCTTTGCCCATGATCCATATTAAAGTCCTGCCTTCCTTTTGCCAACACACTGCCCTCTGGGTTTCCCTGCCCAACAGTGTTTCCATCCAAAACGATTAGGAACCTCTTGGTGCTACGAGTAGATGGTGATGACCTCCCGACCACCTCCACGAATCAACAGGACACGGTCCAGACCGTCCATCAGGACCTCCAGGAACTCCATATCTGTGAGGCACATTCTGGTTAAGGACATAAAGCATCACATGCTGCTATTTTCAGATGTATTCACTTATTACAGTGCTCCTGTCAGTGATGGAATTTACTTAAGAACTGTAGTCGGGCACAAATTTGATGTGCTTGTACTCTACTTGAGTATTTCCATTTGATCGGCATTGTTGTCTAAATTGTTGCAACACCTGAAACTATTGACCTAAATGACATTGTTATTCATTTGGTGAAATACACTTATTCAATTAAGAGTATGGAGAGAGTTAAATGAGAAGGTCGATGGCACTCTAATGTATGGTAGGCCTAAGTGTGAAGCTACAGCCAGTGGCTAGTTAGCTTAGCTTAGCTTAGCATGGCTGTGTCCAAAGTGAGAAAGATATGCCTAATGGCTAAATTTGAATGGATAAGATGACTGATATTGGAAAAGGACACACGAGAGGTCTTGCTCCTCCATTAGCTTCACATAGCAATAAAGACTGGAAACAATGGGAAAAGCTAGCCTGGCTTTGTTTAAAGGTAACACTTTTTGGGGGGTTTTGGTTTGATGCACATAGCGTTCAAAGTCTTCTTTATGCTTTATACGGATTAAACAAAAAAGATTTATCATGTATTGTGTATATATATATGATGAATAATTTGTACTGGATTTCAGGACACAGGAAGAATAGCTGGTGCAATTAGCATCAGTTTATGGGGATCCTTTTTAATAAATGAATAAATATCGTTAGTGACGTCTCATGGTCACACAGCCAGGATAGCTGCTTCTTCCTATTTTCAGTCTTTGTGTTAAGCTAACCTAACCGCCTGCTGGCTCTAGCTTGATATTTTGTGTACTGTTGGGAGGAAAGCAATTCATAGTATTTCCTACAATCTTTTCACTAACTACGACTAATAAGTCAAACTTTCTCTGACTAAATGACTGAATGACTTGTGGCTGATTAGCTGAAAAAGGATACAGTTTTCGTCCCCTTTCTTGTTCTTCGGCGGGCCCGGCATGTTGAGCAAGACCAGCTGCGAGTCGCGGGACTTCTTGAGCACCACCTCGTTCAGCTTCACAGCTGTATGCATCCTCCGCACGTTGGACTGGTTGCTACGTTGGACCACAGACATTAATTAGAGCATCGGTTATCCTGCCATTCGTCGCAAGGTCAGGGGGCTGATCTTGCATGCAAATGCACATGCAGCTTTCATATTTGTCATCATGTAGCAACATGCAAACAGAATTGGTGATCTACTTTCACACAAGCATGCCAGGACAGACATTATTTTCACACAATACGTAGGCACAGAGAGCAAATGCACGTGCAAACAAAAAGCAAAAGATAAAGTGACTTACAGATTCTCCCACTCACTGGAGGAATGGAGACAAAAAAACATATTCAACATTAACACAATAACAAGGGGTGCTCCTGAATTCATTTGTAGATTATCTAGATGCAGGTAGATCTTGAATAAATAGCGCTCCTCTGCCATCAAACGGTATTTGCAAATTACATTATAAACTACAAGCCAAGAGCAAAGTTATTGAATGCACTTAAGAGGATAACCCTTGAATAATACAATGGGATATGTCCATTTTGCTCAGGCAGTGTGCTTTTAAGATGCTTTGCAGCGCTGCTAGATCTACTTACGGTCTCATGTTGAAGATGTCTTTCACTCCCATGCCTTCTCTGTGTCTGTTCCTCTCATTGACCAGTTTGTCTTTGGTCCAGGTCATGTGGACGCGATCCGGCGTGGCACCTGCATCTCTGTCGCTTGTTGCGGAATGAGACGCCGTGTTCCGGTCGTGGATCAACTGTGCCTGAACAAAGGATGAGTCCGATGATTAAAAAGTCAGTTTGGTGTTTTTTTTAGCCACGTTATATTCTCGTTCTTCTCTAACTTCTAGTAAGAAAAGTTGAATCTCGATTTAAACCCTTTTTGGTAAAGGCTTAACTCAAAAAGATCCAACTGATTCTCCGTTCAGTAGCACCCTGTATTTTATATTAGCATTTGTGTACATTTTACCCACAAAGCATATTGTCATTGCAAATATGTCATTATGCAGGAGGATATGAAGACATTAAACATTCTAAAAGTTCTAGTTCTGCCTATCTGTGACAATTGTGAACTCTTGTTATATGCAAAATCATATTTTCTATCAAAATCCCTCTCTTTTCTCTTCCTATTAAAACACTAAGTACTAAATACTTTTGAGGGCTCATATAACTGAAGCGTGACGCTTGTTTGATAGTGACGACACTGTGGGTACACACATGCCTAAAAATGACAAGACCTGTGATGTTTTCACCACGGTGAGCCCTCACCTTCCCTAGATGCTTGTGCATCTCTTTTTGACGACATTTTTAAAAGTTCAAAAGAGTCATTTAAAAAGTATCATGTGAAATCTTAGTTAGGAAGCGCTTCACAAACAGTGAAATGCAGCATATCTTTCACTCTAAGGTGCATTTGTAACAACAATGAAAGCAACATCAAGTGAGCCTCATCCAGGCACCTGGGTAGTTTTTTGATCCAGCTGCCTCATGCAGAAATATACCAGCATGACAATAAAGTAATGTATATTCTATAATGCCGACCTTCTAGCATCAAAGGTCACATTACTCCTCACCTTAGCCAAGAAAGAAAAGTCAACCAAATGAGTATTATGTTGTTAGGATGGGGATGCTGAAGGACCCACAACTCTTTTACTATAAACTATAAACATGATCAATAACATTTTGACCCATTTCTGTGTGTTAGAAACTGAGGGATGTAATGGTTAGTAGTAACTGGATTGACTGCGAGTCAGGTGCACATTTAAAGGAACTCAGTGAGGAATTTGTCTCTCTCTAGTGGCAGCATCTGGTCCCTTTCCACTCAGCGTCTACAGAATATTTAACCCAGAGTTCAGTTTCTAATTACCTCACTGTCTTAAGCATCGCAGGAGTTATGAATGAATTATGATGCGAGGAAAGGATGGCATGAAAAATGGATCGACCGTTGGCAACGTGGTTGTCTACTATGGGCCGCTTGGCCCGTGGCTACCTCATCCTCCGGTATGCACAGGGCGTTGAGGGAAGGGGCACCTGACGGCTTCTTCGTCTTTATGGAGCCTCACGATACATCTGTGATGCTCTGAATCTGAGACCGTTGTCCAATCACAAAGCCGAGTGAGGGGGGGGGGGGGGGGTTCAAAGGTGAACAGCAGCAGAACACAGGAGGAGTTATGCTACGCTTTTGTCTTTGGGTTGAGGACAACTGTAACAGTTTGGTATTTTGTAGTAGTTCATAGTTTGTTATATAATTTCTACATTGTGTTTTAAAGTTTTAGCAATACACCGGAATATTTCAAAATGGAATATGCAAGTTTGCGTAGTAGCTCTATTTATAGTGTAGTTTTGCATCAAAGTTTACTATGTTTTTAGTGTGGCTTACAGTGTTGTAGATAGTGCTTAATATGTTTCTCTTGGTGCCACTTTCAATTGACCCTTCGTCAAGTCCCGCCCCTCAAACACAGACTGGCCAATCATAGTGTAGCATCGGCCAGCTCTGACCAGGGTCCAACAGCTATGCGGCTCTGCTCCATAGACTCCCAGATTGTCGTTATCTTCAGGCGGGTTTTGTGGATTTAGAGCTGGTCATTTTTAAACGTTGTGTAATAAAGATATTCGTTAACCGGAGAGGTTGGAAGGAGATACACGTTTGTAAAACACTACGTTGCTAAATAAAACAGCTAGCCAGCTAGCATTAGCACATCATTGACTAGTGTTAGCACTTCTATGCTATGCTAGCTACTGAAGGTATTCCGAATGTATACACATGCTGCTTTTGCTTTGTGATGATTGTAACAGCGAATAACAGTGTTTTACCTTTCACTGTCTTCTGTCTCATTCTCCAGGTGATGTGGTGGTTCACTTTTACAATGTGATCTGTAGCTTTAGCTTCTACTTTTATCTTTTTAACCCGTTTTTTACTGCTGAATCAGTTTGACATCCTGATCTATCCTTCAAACATATATTGTTTGGCTTGCTTCTCTCTGAAATCACTTTTTCGTTTTTCAAAAATTGCGATTCTATTTATTCAGGGAATGCAGAGAGTTAGTGACAGTGTGGGCTCCATGGTAGCCCTGACGAGTAGCAGCAGGGGGCGGGGCTTAGCAAAGTCTCAGTTAAATTAAACTTAATTACAATGCAAATTTGTCACTCCTACATCTTGATGGTTGTTGGTTGGGACACATCCTTATAATGTTTGTGTAAAGACACAGACATCAACGTTAAACCTGACGTTTTTACCAGACTTCTTACAGTGTCAAACGAGAGTGTCACGTACCTCTCTCTCCCTCTCAGTGCGGGACAGCTGCATCTGTTTCAGCATTTGAGACCTCTGCTCCATCACCAGCGTCTTCTCATAGGTGAAGGCTGAGATGTCGCTTTCATGCTGGAGGGACACATAGAACAGATGTGTAGTTACTCTGGTGTGGCTAATGTTCTAATTAAGGGCACTTTAGAGAAACAGGTAGCCTTTCTGTATCTCAGCCTAGGGCAGGTAAAACTACCACCACCTGGCTCAGCCATCATTAGATACCAAAATAAATTGACTGAATATCAAATCGTCCCACCATTTCCACCACCTCCACCACAGCATCCAGACGTAGATGGTAGAGAAACATCTGGAGGTCTTTCTTCATCTGGATGGAGTTGTCTTCCATATGGGCCACCGTGAATATTCGCATTTTACACTTCCTCCACACCTGTAGAGGTAAAAGATGAATCAGCTGCTGGTTACACACAGTTAGTTTGCCAATCCAAGAGCACTCAATCCTAACTGTGACCTTACTTTAGGAGGGACATGTGAGCAGACAACTCTCAGCAATTACGTCATCTCAAAGCAGTTAAGTGAAGCAATACAACATCAATTATTTGTATTATTATTAGGGAAGACAGGGCAGCCTTTACACACAAATTAGCTTTCAGAGTATGACAGTTAAAAAAGTTGGTGAAATAAATCACTACTAACATGTTAAACCCTCTGTACTGTAGAGAAAAGGTTAGGTCAAAGATGAAGAAGGTTATAGATGAATGGTAATTTAATCTTCATTTCGATTGACTTGAAAAGGAGGCTTGGCCTAAAGAAAACAATTGAGTCTGTATTGTTTCATGAAAGAAGAATTAATAATCATTTTTATTATGCACACAGTAAAATATGTTTAAAAAGCTTTAATGTAGGGTGTAGCTTTTACATGATTACTTTACTTTTTAAAGTATAATCTAAAAGGAAATGACAACACACACACACACACACCTTGTGTTGACTAAGTAAAAATGGCAGCAGCATGAGCAGTCCACCATCATGTACGATCCACCAAACATCGATGGTTCCCTCCTTCAGACGATCGTGGTTTCCAGGGAAATGGTCGATGTTCTTGGCAACCAGCAGAGCCTGTTGGGCCGCCGTCGTCTCTCTCACTGTTTCTGCGGGGAGAGAGAGAGAGAGAGAGAGAGAGAGAGAGAGAGTGAGCATTTAAAATGTTTCTCATGTCAGGGTTCTGTGTCTCCCTCTAATGTCCTCCTGTGTTTTCCCCTCAAGTCCTTCCATGCTTGATTTTATTTTGGTGCACACTTCCAAGTTAAGGCGTTCCTGTGTATTTTACCGATGAAGTTCCTCCTAGCGGAGGAGTCCCGGGCCTGTCCCCAGCCTGTCGGCCAGGCCATCAGGACGGCGTTGTGTTTCATTCCTCCCAGCCCTGCTGACTGGATTAGCAGGGAGAAGCCGTCTCGCAGGTTGGAGGACACCACCACGTGGGAGAAACCCTTCATCTTCTCTGCAGCCATGGCTGTTTTCAAGTTCTGAAGGGGACCAAGAGGAGGGAAGAAAAGGAGAAGGGAAAGGATGGTAAAATGGTTTGAGGTGACGAATTGGGCCCAAAATTTGGGGATTTAGATGTAAGTTGATAGTAAGCAGAATTATCAGGCTTCAGACTGATACTAGTCTTTGACATGACTGACTCTATGAAGGATGACTAACTTGAGTTTGCATTAAACTTTTTCTGACATTTTTACTTACAGAGACACATAAACACACTTAAGCAGGACCAACAATGACTTGATTGTAATTGTGGTGTGGTAGCTTACAAAAAAAACCAAAACAACATCCATCAGTCCTCACTCAGGGCTGAATTCTACTGGCTGGAACCTTTACAACTTGATAATATGTTCATAAACGTGTTTTCAGCTTGTTTTGCTGCCCCCATGTGGCCAAAGAGAATCTTTTAATGCAGTATTTTGACATTATTTAGAGCGTATGTGAAAGAAAAGAAAACAAATGACACACCAACACAATAGCTCACTGGATTTAAAAAATATGTAATTTCAAAGAAAAAAAGCACCTCTTTATTTGAACATGTTTATAGTTTTCTTAAAGTATATGAGCTTGTTTTGCAGATAATATCACTTTTAAATGATTGTAGCTGCATACAACATGATACAACACACACTCAGTGGCAACTTTATAAAGGTCCAACTGTCACCATATGATATGAACTGTTCAATACAACTTTTTCCAATATTTTCCCACATGTACATGTGGGGAAATATTGCCTAATAAAGTGGCCAGTGAGTGTATAGGTTTAACATGTGAATGAGCACAAGGTTTTTACGTTAGCTTTAAATGGGTGCTGTGCCCGTGGCTTCTACCGTATGCTTTGAAAATACACAGGAGGCCCGAGACCACCTGGCCACCACGCAGAGGACTGAACAGGCAGAGCAGACTGACAAACCTTGTCTCCCGTCTTGGCATCGTTCCCTCGGGCCATGAAGGTTCCCTCCAGGACCGAGCTGACGATGGTCAGTCCCTTTCCCGCTTTGAGCTGCGTCGTGAAGGACAGGAGGCGAGGGTGTTTCACCACCAGGTCAGAGTCTAACTTACACAACACCAACACCTGAGGCCTGAAGAAAGAGAAATAAATGTCAGTAGTAGAATACAGGGGGGAAAAAATAAGCATTAAGAATAAAATATTACAAATCTATTGTTATACTAAAGAGAAATTGTGCCAGTTTTACTCATCACGGGGTGTTTACATGTCTTGGGGAGTGTGAAGTTTGGCTCGAGGCTAGATGAGTCACTACTAGCGTAACCCACCTGAATCCTAGACTGAACTGAGAGCGGGTGAGCTGCATTGTGGGTAATGTAGGTGCATGGTTTTGACAGGGGAGAAGAATACGTGAAATACATTTCTGATCCTTTTCTTTTAACTCTCCATCATGAGTCAGACAAAGTTGCGGAGCGACACTAAATTGGTACCGCAATTTAGTATTTCTTTACTGTTTATTTACTGTATTGCCCCTAAGTACATGTTTGTTTAGATTATATTTTGCACAGATTTTCATTTTAGACTCAGAGGGAAATTTACTTCAGAAGCAATCCAGGCATGACAAGAAATAAAGATCCTGCAAATAGCACACCAGGTTGTGTGCGTCCCTTCACCTGGCTTTATTAGGATTAAAGCAATTCACAACGCACACACACGCTCACCTCCAGTTTTTGGTGTGTAGCGGCACTTCCTCCAGCCGGATGAGAGCGTAGCGTGCTGCATTTAGGGACAGACCTCTGATCCCATCTCCCCATTCCTTCACTGCCCTGCAACCACAAAATTCCAAATGGGAAGTGAGTGTTTCACCTCGTCCCCAAATGCTTCAAAAATTAAATTAGACGTTCATATGTTTCCTGGGTCTCAGTGGCGTGAAAGATGTAAAGCTTGATAGATCTCCTGACCTGAAACCGACAGACTCACCCTCTGTACTCAATATACTTGTAGAGACAACCGGCTATCACCATGGCGACCAGGGCGTAGTACCAGGAGGAGATGAACATGAGAGAGAGACACAGGCTCATCCCTAAGAAGGACAGGGTCCTACCGGACACACACACACACACACACACACACACACACACACACACTACATATTTATACAAGTGTAAAAACCAAAATCTGTGGTTTTAATCAAAGCTTTGGAAAGCTTACATCTCACATGTTCTTGCCTTTAGTAGGAAAATGTTCTTACCAGTGATAGAACTTGAAGCGAGGTCTCCAGTTAGGGGCGCGGAGTAAAGTCTGAACAGCACAGGCCAAGTTAACAAACAGATAGCACATGAGGAAAAACCTGAGCGGGTAGCAAAAAACAGACAAGAAAGATTTTTAAAGAGAGAAAGGACTGTTATAAAATCGGCAAGAAAAAGTAACACGGACTGACAGTAGGTTGGATCGAGACTGTTTCTTGTTTTCTACAGGGTTAAGCCACCTACATGGAGAGGATGGGGGCCACGGCATCCAGAGAGCCAATGAGGATCCCTATCTCACAGATCCCCACTGTCAGCAACAGAGCCCAGGTGGGCTCGCCGTTAGCCTTCCCATGACCGAACACCTGAGAGAGAGAGACACGAACAGAGAGAGACGCAAACACATCTCATCATCATGGTCAAAAACTTTAGAATTTCATGTATTATAAGAAGCATTACATGTTTGGTTGCTTTCTTCGGTTTGAATTGTACTGCAATGTAGCATATTTAGAATGTTTATTTATAATATGTGACAACTGATTCATTATTTGAGTCACTTATCAAGGAAAAATGCCAGAGAGAAATGAAAGGCATCACCTTGAGGGAATTGTGATGGGCATATTTCTTTTTAAAAAATTTTGACATTTTATATAGACTAAATAATTATTCTAGATTATTCCACAAAGGACCTCTTGCTTATCTTAAATGTCTGTGAGGTTTATTCGTAGGAGTGTTCCAATTCAGATCCACCAATCCTGATGAATGTCATGAAGAGGTGGCCAGCAGGCGTGAGACAACGTTATAATATGTAAGGTGGTCATGTGACAGTCACAGACAGATTGGTCGAGAGACTATTATGGCCTACAGTACAAGAGATGGTGAAAGTAGGCAGACCTGCATAAAGATACATAGGCAGCTGTTGGGGTTAGGTTTCCTAACTAAATAAAAAAATGAAAAATAACATGGCAAGGAGGATAATCTGGTGAATGATATGCTAATTTATACATATAATAGTTATATATTATATAATAATTGATTAAAAATAATATATAATATTTTGGTATCATACTATAACTCCAAATCCCTTCAGATTATTGTTTAGTGATTTCAGTGTTTTTTTTCCTTGTGGAGAATGACTATCTGTAGCCGACACGACTGGTACGACAGATCTGGACCAAAGCGAAAATTCCACGAACGTGAAAATTGGTGAACGCCACAATTCCTCTTCCACGTGATGTGTGTTTGCGCAAAATAATTGGTTGTAGTGTTTCTCTTCAATTCTACAGTTGTATAATATAGGATTTAAATGAATATAATATTTTTTTACCATTTATAATATGATCAATAATTAATTTTATTAAAGCATTATGGTCTTTTAAAATAAATACTAATATATTATTTATATGCAGCATGCTGCATGAGGCCCTGCAGTATATTGCCCTTCTTGGGGGATCTGCTAATTAGAATCAACTGGCATGTGCATTCACTTTACAAAAACTGGTGCGAACACGTCTTGAATCTGACATAGACTTTTCTACGGACCTTTCTCAAGAGAAAATTACAGAAGAAATTCAGGAAGATATTGGTGAATGAGGCACATTGTCTTGAGTTATCAATCTGCAGCTTAGTTGGAAGTTGGTCTAAATTTAGGAGGATTAGCCCTCCAGTGCACAAAATAAAGGTGAGTAAAGCAATGCCGTTACTGTGTAAGTACGCCAGTCATGGGGCATGAGAGGAAGCTGAAAAGACCCATTCAGTCATTTTGTGTTTGGGTGACGCACACAGGATTGTAACATATAAAACATTTTTTTAAAACACAGGTCTTTCTCACACTGACCTGCAAGAACGGGATGATGCCATCCCGAGCGATGGCCTGCAACAGCCGGGGGGCGCCGGTGAGGCTCTGAAGCCCCGCCCCGCAGCAGGAGAAAAACGAGCCAATCACAATCACCCAAGGCGATGGCCAGGCCAGAATGCCAATCACCGGGTTCGTTTTGACTGAGAAACCAAACCTGCAACCACCATAAGGAGGCACACCATGAGAGGCAGTTCAGAAAGGAGATGGCCCACTGAGAGTCATGGCCATGACCACGCCCACTTAGGAAACAGGAAGTGTGCATCATCTTTATTATAGAGCATCTTTGATACAACACAAAGTGCACTGTTGCTGTGTGAGCTACGTCAAAACAAATTTCCATTTCACGCAAATTAACTATTTAAAAAAAAAAAGCTTTCCATCTTCTATTACCCCTAAAATACCAATGTTGCTACCATTTGTTTCTCTACAGAGTTAAAAAAAATACCCTTACTTGTCTCTCAGCACCACTCCTTCAATACAGGCTCCAAACAAGACCACGCAGGAGATGTCTGAGCGAGACGTTAAGATAGAAATACTTGCACGTCATACTTACTTTGCGGTAAACAAGCCTAATCTAATAAAATCGGCAAAATCAGAGTTTCTGCTCTCTGTCATCACCCGATACACCTCCTACACATATGATGGTTTGTACTGTAGTGTGTATATGTCTTAAGGATACAGATGAAAGAGGTGGTGAGAATTGCCATTATGGTTCCTACTGGGATGGACCTCTGGGCATCTCTGAGATCACCAGACCTATTGGAACCGGCCATTATACCTGAAATCAAACACACACACAACGTAAGAGTTAGAGTCAGTTTTGGAGGTATTGTGATCCTTTACTTATGTCTACTTCCATCTCTTTTCAAAGTGTTTCAATATATAACATCATAATCATCCTAATTTCTCATCAATATGTTAGACTCCTAACCCATTCATTTTTGTTTGGTATTTGATCTACCTGTGACGGATGGGAAGTATATTCCCACCAGCAGAGTGAAGTAGGTTGCGATGTCATTGAAGACGTAGGGCAAGTTTCTGCCCGAGTCCTTGGCTTGTACTGAAGGCTGGCTTTTCTTCTCTATGTGCGTATCAGCTGGACCATAGTCGCCCCACAGGTTGTCTAGCAGAAAGACACGGAGGAGAAACAGCCAGATGAACATGAGGATTCATTCTCATTGGACAGTGAATGTCTTGTGGACAAAGCTGATCATTTAGCCTGGTGGCACGAGAGAGAAACAATACTGGATTTTAGCTCCATGAAGGGGAAACGTTCAGGATCCATCCCCTCCTCCTTCTCACCTTTGATAACTCCGCTCAGGAGCCCAGGTATGGCCCGTAACTCTGTCAAGTTATTGAGGGCGAAGTAATCATCGCAAGTTGCGTTGTCACAGAAGAGGTGCCATAGATCCGTGATCACGGTGACATTTTTCACAAGCTCCGTCTTGGCGCACGTGTCAAACTTATCGTTCTTCAGAGATCGGTTCCCCAACAGACAGACACTGTGAAGGATGGAAGAAAAAAAATGTGTACAATGAATGCAAGAGGGATTTGCAATTGTTTTTTTTTTTACAGTGGTTGTTAAAATGTTCTCACTCCCAACTTGTCAAATCAGTAGCTTGGTGAGAGGCCATACACTTAAACTTAGCCCACTAGCATCAGTTTTGTTTCAACTTTTGAGAATAGACTTTGTTGCCTACAAGAAACAACTTTGTTAGGTTTAGGAAAAGATTGTGGTTCAAGTTAATTGCGCTGAATTTGATATTCAGTGGAAGCAGAGGGCTCGCCTCCCTGTGGCTCCCAACATAGCGGCGACAGCTGAGCAGACGGCTTGCAGCTAACAGTGCAAACAGCGGTAACAGCGCTGACAAAGCTAACTGTGTTTACCTGAGGCTGAACCAGAGGGTGTGTGCTACGCTACCGCAACGACAGCGAGGGTTCGGGACTTTGTTATCAGCTGTAACCTTCACATGAAAGCAGTGCAGAGCAGCGTCGTTGAGCTAGAAAATTGGGGCAAGCTCATGTACACTAACATTCGTTACATATATGCAAACGCAAGTTAAGTATGTTACGTGACATTATGTAACTAAACTTGCTTACGTATCTTAAAATAAGGCTTTTGGTTTCACATGGGACCCATCCACCTAACTCGACATCCTGCCAAATGCGGACTTTGACGCTCTTTACACTCCGTCACCCGACTGCCTCCTTTACTCCGAGCACAACTGGGGCCACGTAGAGTGCGAATGTGGGCCTTCTGATCAAGCTGCCGTATTTGGCAACTCGGGAGCAGGGGCCACAATGTTTGTATCAGATATCACAGATGTGTAACACAACAGGAGTCAAGGAATACCGTGGCTTCAATACAGCCAGCCCAATTCACTGCACACACACAACACCTGCATGTTGTTAGTGTTACACATATTATAAACCAATCACAGTCACAATCAATGAATGCAATGAAGCGCATCCCATTTGTCATTTTGCATAAATATCCAACACTTAAAAGGAGTTCAATTTAGCATATCGTCACTAAGAACATTTCTGTCCTGAAAAACATGCCAGCGTTAAATAAGAAATTATTATTCAGCTCTGAGGAACTCACTTAATTCCTGGTAGTTCGATGAGCGTCTTGATGACTCCCGCGTAAGTGGCCATGATCGAGAGAGCCACACAGGCCAGAAACACCAGAGACAGTTTGTTCACATACCTGCAGAAAGAACGGGAATACATGCGAGTCTGCGTGCTGGTGTGTGTTAGAGTGTGTGTGTGTGTGTGTGTGGGTATGTGGATACTTACTTCACCCCTACAAACACTACCAGAGCCATTAGGAGCAGGCAGCATGTGCCATAGACTCTCATATTGTTTGACACTTCATTAAACATCGGTGCTGTCGGAACGACGTAGGTCTGGCAGTGGGGAGGAGACATCAGAAAGAGAGTGAGTGTGTCATTAACATGCAGCAGAAGTGACTGCCAACGTGGCCGATCTCTTATCCGCCAGAGTGGTAACCTACCAGCAGAATCTCTATGGTGCCCAGTATGTACATGGATCCAGCGAAGGTGGTTCCCAGGTAGAAACAGAGACCCACCGCTCCTCCAAACTCAGGCCCCAGAGATCTGGAGATCATGTAGTACGAGCCGCCGGCTTTGGAGAAATGAAATCCTAGTTAGTTCGATTGCTGGTACAGGTATTCTATGGTATTTTGAACTTCATTTTGTAAAAAAAAAAATGCTGTTTTACATTTTTCACTGGGGATGATGGGAGAAGCTCTGATTTGATCAAAATGTTATTATGTTTATCTAATTATTGAGCAATTAAGTGTCAAAGTGGAGAGAAGTGAGTGAGTGTTTTGGGGCTGTATGTTGCCTATGAGGAAGAGTGCTGAACAAAGTTTAAAAAAAAAAGGCACTAGCATTTATCATCAATCAAAAGGTAATGCAGTAAAAAACATTACATTATTTATTGAGTTTAAAGGCTCCCCGTTGACAGTTGGATTTTCAGTCAAACACTTATTTATCATGATGTGTCAAGCAGATTCTAGAGGATTTTAGGCATGAAATGCAACAAATTAGGGGCATTTTTTTTGGGGGGGGGGGGGGGGGGTATATTGTTTTTATGATTGCCTCTATGAATTTTTCCTGTGAAGTTTTTAGGAAATGACAGTGTTCTCACCACAGAACACCCTTTGCTGTTGAACAAAGGGTGACATGTATTTACTGTGACTCTTTGTTGTGTCAGGCACAATCACCGTAATATATCCACAGAATGTTACATACGGTTTTGCCAGTGGTAAATGAAAACACTATATCACGTGAAAAAAAAAAGTCAATAATACTAATGAACGCAACGTTTCATAATGTACCTGGGACAACTCCGTTGGTTGCTATGGCGCTCATTGATATGGCTGTGAGCAAGGTCTGGGTTGAAACAAAAAGGACACATGTTAGGTTATGGATGGAAGAAAAGATGTTAGCCAGCTGCATTTAATTTATTGGTGTCAAAAGGTTTCACAGGATAAACTGTCATTAAATACTGCCAGGACCACTGCTGGTCATTCAAGCATGACAATAAGTTCATGTAATACAGAGCAACACATACGTAAATACAGTTACAATCATACGTCCACAGCATCAATGCTACAATCAGTCAATCCCATGCAGGTCCACATAGTCCTGCTTTTATAGTCCAGATCCCAAATAGGAAAGAAACGAGGAGAACTGTTGAACTGTGTTGGCCTGTCGTTTAGAGGGAAATGCCCCAAAATCAATGCGTGTTTTTACGGTGGCTTTATAAGTGATTGTATACCGAGCCAACTCTGACCACATCATGTTCCAGTCACAGTCACTTCTATAGTCGAATTTGGTTTTTAGTTTGGAGGTATTTTGTTTGTCGTTTGAATTTCTCTCTCTAAATTGAATGCGTGGGATCACTTTTAAAAAGTTGTCACACTACTTGTGAAATGTTAATTTCATGGTTTGTTGTGTTAAAATCTGTGACGTGATTAAGAAGTTCATTCATAAATAACATGACGTTTTACGAAATCTACAAGAGTTCAAATTCATCACATGTGAATAAGTGGTTGAAATACTAAGAATGTGTTTTCCTTGCATCGTTTACATTGTTGTTTATGGTGTAATTTAAGATACGTAGTGTTAAACTGTGATCTACACAGTGGTCTTGATCTTGAGTCTGAGATCGATTGCTTTGGTCTCCACCCACATACCTCAGGGGAAACCGCGGTCTTTTCCTCATTGCAGCAAAGTTCTTGCTGAGGAAAAACCATCACATCTCTCTCGTATTTATCCCCCTTTTTCAGGGGGCGTAACACTAAGGATAGATGTGACAAAGGTCTGGCAGGTATCTGACAGTTATTGATACCCAACACGATGAACACATTTCAGGCATTACACGTACAAGTGTTGTGGTTTAATGCTGCGTTCCACACAACTGACCTCCTCGAAAAAGAGCAAAGACTTAAAGTCAGTGTTCCTGTAAACTTGAGCCAAATCTATCGACTTCAATTAACGGTTGTCTGACATCCCACAACTAAGGAAGCACACATTTTAAATGGTTAACCATCAACTAAAGGGCAACGTAAAGTATATTTGCCTGTATTTGATGAAAATAACACATACTATCATATAGTTAAACTTGTTCTGCATGTAAAATTGATGTTAAAATATGACGCCAACATTATTGGGTGTCTGGTCATAGAAAACAATCTCTGAAATGTATCTTCTCTGCACAAAAGTTATTTGGGAAAACGTTAAAAATTCCACCAAAAAAGAGAAATGTGGAGGCCGCACTGCTGGGAGTTCAATTGTACACTTGCCAAAGAAACATCAGTTTGTAACGATCAAGGCTTGGAGGTCGAAAGTTTGAAATATCAACGGGATAACTTCAGACCTGCGAGTTGTGTGAAACGCAGCACAACAGCCAGCCGCACTAATGACACGCGACCTCTAGAAACAGCACCGCGACCATCGCATCCTCAGACTTTGTCATCTCTTTGGTCTGAAGCATCAGAGCCTGACAGGGTTGACGTATACCGCAGGGAGGGGCGTTGAGTGCCGGCTGTTCACATCACATGAGCGCTGAGCATTTTAAGTTCAAAGTTTTCAAACAGTCAGCTCTCTGTTTGGCCGCAGAGCCGCTGACGTATGAGCCCTGGTTGTAAATGACACACAAATGTTCTGCTCGTTTTGCGAAAGGCCCCTCTGAGCCCGGGAATGAATCGACATCAAAGACCCAGAGGAGGGTGTGCTGATTGGCCTGCAGTTTTGTCTGCCATGCTCTAAGTCTCAGACTGAACCTCAGACATGTCATTGTTCCGTTTCGGCATTTATAGAATTACGGCCGAGAGGGGGCCTCGCTTGTTTGTCTTTCCTTCATTCACAGTGTCGTTGGTGCCAACACTCCCATTTTGATCCCCCCAAAAAACGCATCTCATTTCAAAAAGTGTAATCCCTTCACTCAGTTTGACACCCCGTTTCTTTCTGCTGATCGTGTCTGTATTCAGGAGAAAGTCAATACGTTGTTTTTTTTTTTTGTGAATCACTCACGCAGATGCAGCACATGGAGACGATGGCGAAGGTTCCCAGGATTCCTGCTGTGCCGACGATCCAGGTGAGACGCAGGAAGAGGATCACGCCCAGGATGTTCTGCATGCAGGGCAGGTAAACTCCGATGAAGGTTCCCATTTGGGGCACCTGGGGACAGATAAACAAAGTGCACACATGCACAGAGGTGAGGATCAACAGGGTGAACATGAAAGGGAGACTCCTACGATGACCAGTGACCTTTGGATTCCTTTATGCACGGAGAGTTATGTACATTTCATTCATATTACATTACTAAAGATGTGCTTCTGACATATTATGAGGTATTAAAGAAAATAAGCTTTGAAAGAAAATAGTTTTTTCTTTTCGTGAATTTATCATTTATAATTTTAAAACTGGTTAATAATACTTAATATTGGAACTTAAGCCATTTTTTATCTGCACATGCCTTGTTTTACCGGATTTAGAATTTCCTTTTACGGGCTATATGTAATGGAAGAGTCATATTGTGCACGATGAGTTGATGCATTTCATTTTTATTAACTGTTCTGTGAGAAATTATTTTCAAAATGTTAAGAATCCGGGACAGAACATGTTTTAAGATTCATAGAAAAGTTAGAGCTTTAATGCTAGACAACCTGCTAACCTGGCATCTATTCTACGAATATGAGAATATACTGCACATTTTAAAAGTGTAGCTAATTTTACCCCCGGTGCAATAAGAGCATGAAGACATGATTTGACTGTCAGGATTTATAATAATAATAATATATAGAATGTAGAATAATAATACGCTATTATTAGAACATGCAAAATCTCAAACATCCACACTGAGTATCTTTAAACTTGATTCTTTGACGGTGTGGGGAAAAATATACATATGCACGTTTTTTTTATTTTACATCCAAAAGCAAAATATATTAAAAATATTACAAATAAAGTATCGTCCAGGATCCATACAACAGCTTTAGTTACAAACTAACATTGTTGTGCTTCCAGCCTCACTATCATTTCCCATATGTCCCATGATATTTACAGTATGCATCACGCTGCACAAACACTTACTATATACCTTCTTGTCTCCCCAACAACCAAGTGTACGTACCATCTTCCCAGTTACAAACACTTTGTCCTGCGCTTTCTCCACTGCGCTCAGTTGTCTGCCTAAATACTGTGACGTGCCTGACGTTGATCTCCAGATATCCCACATCTTGTCTCTCGTGTTAGGTCGTCTTTCTCTTCCTTTCTGCTTTTTTCTCCCCCCTCACTCTCCCTCTGCACGTCTCAGACCTCCGCTTTTAAAAGGAAAAGCACAGCTCTTCAGCTGATTCGGGGGGCGGGTTTCACTGTAACATCATCAGTGTCTCTAACACAAAGCTACAGTTCAAGGTCCCACTGGGTGTCACCCGAAGACAGGAGGGCAATCAGGGACGCCAGTATTGTTGTGATAGGAGAATATCTTCAACAATTTTCATGTGCAGTTTTAGCCGTCAGTAATGAGAGCAATTAGGTTTTTTCCTTTTTTTCTGTGAATTTGGGGGATTTGTTGAGATGTTTATATACTATTAATCCACATTGAGTATTGCACAGGCTGATTCTAGACTCAATATATTTAAATGTAACTACCCCGAGCTATCTATAAAGTAAAAATACTGGGTCCAGTATTGTTTGTATTCCTAGCAGTGTGGAAGAAACGTTGAAAAAGCATTTAGGCTTTCATGTGAGGAAATATGATTATAAACAGAATTAGAAAATTCTACAGATTCTCTTTTTTCAGCGTCTGGCTAAAGTGATTGAATATAGATTTTGAAAAAGTCCGAATATTTGTCTCTTGCTATCTGCCAATGGTGGGCCGTCAGGGCCTTCAAGGCCTTCTCTGCTGGCCCTGACAGAATCACAAAGTTATAGCTATTTTATCATTTCATTATTTTTCATAAATACACTACATGTATTCTAAATATGTTTCCCATTAGCTTATTATCTCATTGCACAGCTACTGTCTTCCTCAGTTGCTCTGCTTCCAGCGCAAATTGTTTTAAGTAGAGCAGGGGTGTCAAACTCAAGGCCTGCAGGCCGAATCCGGCCCGCCACGTCATTTTATGTGGCCCGCGAATCCGCCAGCAAAAAAAATTAAAATGATGATAGAAAGTCATAATTATGAGATACTTAAACACAGCAGTCATAGAAGCAGCTCTTTGGCTGGTTACCCTACATTTGACATGGAAATGGATTTCCACAAGAAGAAAGACTTAAAGATCACGGCACGTCTTTCTAACAATGCAGCCCATTCTTTGGAGATGTTGACGAGCTGCTTTCTCTCCTCGTGATATCATCCCAAAGACCAATGCCTACAGTAAACTCTACCCAAGTTATATTTAAAGCTTGTTGGACTGCAAAACTCAAAAGATGGGTTTATTTATTTGTCTTTTTGGCAGAAACTCATTCTACTGTATATATCCAAAATCAGGAGGTCATACACTGAAGTTCATCATCATGCTTTTTTCTTTCTTAACAATTCTTGAAAGATGAATTAGATAACCAACAGCTAATTGTTATCTCTTTTGGTTACAGGTGGTAATTGTGCCCTCGAAGACAGTGCTATGTTGATGTCAACAAAGACAATGAAGATGAAACACTTCAGAACAAGGACACACGTGGAAACTGTAGTTTCTTTGGGGGGGGGTCGTGCATCATAACAACACAGTGGGCTGGTGGGAGTAACAGACTGCACTTAAAGGCCCTAAAAGAGACTGCCCTGCATTGGCACCCTTGCTGAGTCGGCAGTGTCCTTTAGACGATAAGAAAGCTGCCAGAATTAGTTTGCTACACGTTGACCGCTTTAAAAAAAAATCAAAACTGACGATCCCTACTAAACACCACGTGGGCTTTGGTCCGCACCATGACAGCGACCCTCCTGACCCCATCCTCGTTCTCGGCCTCCTCGTGCTCTCGAACACCCTGGGTCAGGTTGGTGTAGTTGGCCAGCTTGTTGAGAAGAGATGACACCATAGGGTTACTCTCCATTTCCTCCTGCAGGGAGACAGAGAGAACAAAAGCACGAATGAAGCAAAGCATGGGTATTTCGGCTTGAACAAGAACCGAGACGAGCCACCACGTCACTCCTGTTTTAGCCTCCTTCCACCGGCTCCCGGTTTGTTTAGAATTGAACTTAAGATCTTATTGATTACTTCAAAGACCCTTTGTGGCTTCACTGCTTGTTATATTTCTCACCTCTTTGTAACATTACAGCCTATACATATATAGTTTAAGGTACTCAGTCAGAGGTCTTATATTTGTTCCACAGTCCCAGTTTAAAACTAGGGGACAGAGCGTTTTGCAGTCAGGGCCCTGACCTTATTTTACAAACTTCTATCAGAATGCAAATTCTCATTCTATTTGAATTGTCTTTTATTTTCTTAATTTAGCTTCCATTTGCTTCTATCTTACATTTCAATCTCACATTACCGGAATTGGTTATATCGGTTTAAAAATGGTTGAATTAAATCTGCTGCCATGAAGCACTTTGCATCTTGCACTATATTAAATGAATATTTTTTATCAATTAACATTACTATTATTGCCCACATTTGAAGGTTTGGAACTTTCAATAACGTACCTGTTATTAGTTATCCATAAATCTTAAGCACCAATTTGCTTTTAAAACGTAACCTTTGATTTTTTTTGTGCATCAAACAGTTTAACATTCATAAACAGCGGACATTCTGAGAAAAATCATTTTTGTCTTACCTCAAACAAGGCCATGTTCTTGCCTTCATAATAATGTTCTCCGTCATCGTCTGTGTTGATGAATGGAGTAGACTCTCTCTGAAGGTCATCTCCTGGTGGGATACACAGAACAAATACACGCACTGTAAGATGCACACCACTGAGAGAGCAGCAAGGGACAGGGGCAGCTGGATTACCAGGTACTGTTCTTGTGTAGTGTCTGTATATGTGTAGTGTCTGTATACTGTAGTAGTAGCAGTGAAGTGGCAATTGCTAGGCAAGTACAGTTTACTATAACCTCTTTACTACAACTGGGACTAGATGAAAACACACTCAAATACAACATTTATGATACACTTGATAAAGATTTACTCAGGCAGGTTCTATCTTTTGGCCATGTATACTGCTTACATGTTGACTATTTTGTGGGAGTTTTATTTCAAAACACTATTTATTTATATAAAGCCATGTTACAAATAACACAAATTCCCCAAAACAATGAAATAGTAATATACACAATGAATATTGATCAATATTCGTATATTACTGAAGACTTCCATGCGTTAAGACTAATAAATTAAACAGATTTAATTAGAAACCTCTGGCTCAGGGATTACAGTGATACTTGTTGCTGTCTGTCGTCATCTGGTGGCCGACTCTGTAAGTACCGAGAGCAAGGTTCGCTTCATGCAGAATTGCAGTCTCAGGCAATATGGCGGTTTGTTTTTTCTCACAGCCGATCGTTGTGAATCATTGCCGTAGATATGTAAGTAACAAGATGTGATGTTTTTGGCGAAGATAACATAGTCCTTGGTGAAATACTTTGACAGGAACATAGTTTTTTTGTTTTGACGCAAGTTTTAACGCAAGCATTAAAAAGCTCAGAATTTCTAGTTTCGAACATATCAAGCATGTTATTGTTGACTGACACGAAAAACATTTTCGACTAGAGGCCTACTAAGAAACCACATCCACATTTCTAAGTTGAAACCCAATATTGCAAATTCCGGTGAAATCTGGTCTAAACGTGAACGTTTAATCAACATCTTCAAATAGCCGTTGACAAAAGTTTCAAAATCAAGACAAACTGAAAGTACCATGTAGCTTTAAGCACTAAAGGTCTATCACATACAAATGGACATGTTTGTGCATACTGACACACACACAAACACACATACAGTATATATGCTGTAGGAATGTGAAGATTTGCCTCTAACCTTGTATACTGTACTTCTGTCAGCAAAGCATACAATACTTTGCATAGACACACAAATAGTCTAGTTCACCAGCATAATGTTTCTTTCATGGCATATTTAGCAATATGCACAAGAACAGTAAAGTGCACATGCAGCTATTCTAGCATGTTCCTTTGAAACAATGTCACAGTATTGCTGAGCTGTCTGTTGTACTCTGGAATCAGATCAACACACATATATATATATACCTTTGTTGAACATTCACTTCCTGTTAACATTGACCTTCAAAACAAACTACTTAACCTAAACTCTCACGGTGACAAAATCAATCTAATTTAAAGCTATGTCCTCATTTCAGTCACATCCTAAACCTACATGAAATGTTTTACTGAAAGAAAGATATCTTCCTTTTATCAATGAATGCAGAAGTTAAATGAATGCACGATAGATTGTGAAGGTGTAAGTATCTCTTATTATGTATTTATTATATTCAACAGCAGGTTAGAGGTTTAGTTCATCAAGTACATCACAATATGTACAAATCAAAATACAGTTTCCTCTGGTATGAAGCACGGAAAACCAATTGACCCTTCGCTATCGCTATTCGCAATCTAACAGAGCTACCATGGAGCCCACACTGTCACCAACTGCAGTTCCTTAGAAAATATTATCTAATTTTTGGAGAGTAAAAAATCCATTTTATAGAGAAGCAGACAGAAGGGTCTACAATATGTGTTTGAAGGATATATCCAGGATGCAAAACTGATCAGCAGCAAAAACAGGTTAAAAAGATAACGGTAGAAGCTAAAGCCTACAGATCAGTATAAAAGTGAACCATCACATCACCGAGTGATCGAGACAGAAGACAATGAAATTAAGGAACAACACTGTTCCTGTCAAGCCCGGTAGGTCTTTATTTACTGGTACAATCATTACAAAGCAAAAGCAGCATGTTTGTACATTCAGTATACCTTCAGTAGTTAGCGTAGCATAGAAGAGCTAACGTACTCTGCTAATGTTAGCACCACAGGTTTTTATGTAGAAATGTAAATTTAATGCAATTTTTAGTAGTGGGGTGTCAAAACGTTTTTTTGCAATTAGTCAAAGACAAGTTGTAAATTAATATAAATTCATATACATCTGAATAACTGAATATTTGATCTCAGGGAAGTTCAACCATACATTTAAAAACAAGCTATCACTGTCCAATACAGTAATCTTTAGATAGGAAACTTTAGATTGAAGTTAATCTAAAACATGCACAAACTTTATTTAAAATACATAAATTAAGGTTTCTGCTAGACCTGCAAAATGCAAAAAAACGTGTTGTGTGCCGCCTAAGGAACAATACTTCAAGCAGAAAGTGGAACAACACCAAACACGGCACCAGTCACAGGATACAGTGCTTTGGAAAATGATTGTACCGAGATGTCATTGTTCCGACAGATAACATCTTGTGTAATCAGCACTGAGTGCTTAACGTTCCATGACTTCTGCCTCTACGATAAAACACCTGAAGAGTACAAGTACCCACTGTACTGCTGTAGTGCAGGGCTCCCATTAAAGGGACAGTTTGGTTTTTAGGAATTTGCTCACAGTGGGGGAAAAAAACGTATTAATATTTTAAAGGGGCACTCCACATATTTGTCACATCAAGTTCAGTTTACTCATCATCATCTACAGTTGTACGATTGGTCTGTGGCTCTGGGATTGTGGAGTCAGAAAGAAGGGAGCCTACCAGGCCTCTGTAGCCCACTCCTCATCTCTGCTTGAGGCTCGGCCTAACGATAGCGTGCTACTGAGTTGCATTCTAGGAAATGTAGGATCCAGTGCTGTTGGGACTAAACCCACAGGGACTAAAAGCCAGGATATCTCAGCCAATATTAGCCTAGCTTAGCATAGTGACTACATGTCTATGGCATCAGTTTGTGTGCCTGTGTGTGTGTGTGATTAAGAGAGATTCTGAAAATGTCACCGCTTCTGACTGAATGTCGAGAGAAAAACAAATGCATCCATGATCGATTTGTTTCTGTGTGACATACATTCAAGCTACGATACATTAAAGCTGTTGTACATTTTCCTACAAATTGAGCAATACTTTAAAGGGACAGGTTGTACAATACCTGCAACTGAGATTGTTGTATGACAATGTGGAAAAAGACTTTCATTTCACACTAAAAAATAAGATCTTTTGTCAGATATTTTAACAATTTATTTTCATAATGTCCTGGAAATGACTGATTTGTACTTTCATTTCCAGGTGTTGGCACGCTCAGTGAAACAATTTGCATGTTTGAATCACCCAATAACTCAGTGAACCACCAATGATTCATAGATAACCTCGGGCAGGGTAGGCCATAGCTGCCTGCTAAACAGGAATTGCCTTGCATGTGAATGTTGCTGTAAAAAATGCTACGCCTTCAAACAAAGGCATCATCGTAGTGTGGAATTCACCACCTGCGGATGCTTGGCAATTGAACACACTGCATTGTGTCAGAGTAGTTACCAAAGTAGATCACTCCGAAAGTGGATCAGCCTTGCTAAAATGAACAGCAGACACAAGGAAATCTGAACTGATCTCTGATGGTGACTAAACCCATCAACACGCACAGACAGAAATATTAGTTAAAGGCAAGAAGACAAGACACCACAGCATCAAAATCTGAATTCATAGTTTGATCTCTGTGCTTATTACCACCAAGAAACTGAAGAACACTTGCTCACTCGTTTGCAGATTTCTTCATCCTTGTCATAAACATTAAGTTGCCATAGCCAACTAGACAGATAAAGAAAGAGAGCTAATAACAAGTTACAGCTTTGTTGGTGAAATGTAAAGTTGAAATGATAAGTGGCATTACACACAACACTGAATGATCGATGTTAAAGCAAAGCAGGATTTTTGGAGACAAAACTGTAAAGAAGGTTTTGGTCGAAACTGAGTTAGCGTGCCTTCCCTGTGTCCAAAATCACAGCTAGTATATAAGAAGTTAGTGAGTGAACAAATGAAGAGACTGTCCAATAAATATCTTGCCAGGTTTAAACAAAGAGACACAAAATGGCCACAAAGAGACGGGGCATAAAACGACCGACCACATGCGGACCGACCACAAAGAGACGCCAAACAACCACAAGGAAATGCAAAACAATCACAAAGATGCACAAAAAAACTACAGAGTGAAACTTAAACAACTACAGAGACACAATACGACCACAAAAAATGCAAGAAGATGGTGCAATGCCATTCTTTTGGTCTTTTTTGCATGTCTTTCGGTCTGTGTCTTGCTTTATTTGGCCTTTTATACTGTATGTCTGTTTCCATCTTATCTCTTAATCTGTCCATGACTGTCTGGTGTAACAACAAGCAGCAAATCATTAATATTTCATATACTTCTATAATAATATATTGTTCTTTGAATCTGGCCCGTCATTCAAAAGTTTCGAAACCCAACTTTGGCCTGAGCTGAAGCTAAATTGACTTTTTAATCATTATTCAAAGAGGCAGTAGTGTCTTTATCCAAATGTGAAAAAAACGGTTAGCTAAACTACTTAGCAAATGCTTAGCAGCAGAGGTAGTAAACTACCTTAGCAGATTTCTGTAGCTGCCATCTCAGCTTTTGACTTGCAATATAATCATAATAATCATAATTTATACGATTTGGTGAAGTTAAACTAAATCACATTTAAATGTATGAATCGTGACTGAACCCATTATCTTGGTCTAAATATAAACAGTAATTGTAGGCAAATAGTCAGACAGCTAACAAAACAGATACATGGTCTGTAAATAATAAACGTTAAAGGCGCTATACTCGAGATTGGAAGTATTTCTATTTCCTCTCAACGGCTCTTTAACATGGAGACGGCTGAGCCGGTGGCTAACGCTGCTAGCGGCGCTAAAAGTGCTTATCGGAGAGCGACTTTATTCTCTGCTTGGGAGGGACATAAATCCACTGTATCTTTACATAGCAAATAGTTAGTGGCTGCAATGTTAATGATCTGAATCCCGTATATTGGAAGTTTATTTTCTTAGGCAAAGAAGTTAAAAATGAACAAGAGAGCTGAAATTTTGCTACATTTCCTCCAAGTGAGCAGTATCTTCATTTGTATGTCAAGTCATTTTTGGAGGTGAAATAATCAGCCTTAACAGGGATGAAGAAGAATTATTTTTCCAAAAACACGTTTCAACCTAAAAACTGTTGGAGTTACAGCTCCAACAGCTTTCCACAGACTTAAGTAGCAACAACATACCCCACCCCGTCACTACCCCACACCCTACCACGACACTAATCAACTCTGCCCTGCAAGTTCTAGCTAGTTGAACGACGTCACACTTAACAGCTGTGTGTGCGTTTGTTTGTGTCAGTGTGCTTCCGTTTGTACGAGTTCAATTACACACTGGCGCATACAATTCATCAAGCATGCACATTTCAACAGCCAGTGCATGCTGGGATAAGGTTCCAGGAATAAGAGGGTCTTAAAAGCGGGCCTCCCCAGCTGTATGAGCATGTCTTCAGGCCAAAGTAGAGGTTTTGTCTTACACCGTGTCCTTACCGGGGTGAGGTCCTTGTGAGTTGACCTCATCGTCTTCCTCCCCAAAGATTTCGCCCAAACTGACAGGTTTGCTGCCCCCAGCAAACCTGTCAGTTTGGGCGCTGCTGCCGCTGCCCTCTGCATCCTCCACTGGCACAACGGTGAAGTTGGTGGGCATGTTGGCTCCTCAGATGCCTGGAAGAAAGTTTTAAAGTGGGTGTCCGGGGATGGCACTTAGTGTTTTCCAATTTTCGCCCCCACAGGGACGAGACAAAAAAAACAACTTCCAAAGTAAGTCAAAACAAAGCCCCAGTGAGGCAGTTCAGTTTGACCTCAACATGGCACTCACTCCAAATCTTTGGTTCCATTCCTCTTTGTTATGGTGTGTCCTCTAAACTCAGGGTGAAAGTGCCACTGCCTCCTGCGCATGAGGCAGGCCAAAGTCCTGCAGCATGTGTATCTCTTCACTCTCTCCTTATTCCTTTCGCTCCCTTGTCCCCCCACACCCCCCACTACTGCTCCAAGACTATTGCCCCATGTGACCCTCTGTTTACCATATGAACAGAGTTGGAGTCCATACATGGAAACCACTGCAGCTCCTCCCAGTGCTCTGACCGTCCCACTTCTCTGACTCACACCTTTGTCATGCCAAAAGGCAGGGAAACAAACTCTTAAGTATCTGTAAACGTTTCCAGAGTACCTATCAAATCCACTTTGACTGAAAACAGCTAGCTCATGTTTAAGGAGGGGCAATCCAAGCACAAGCTCCTTTTCTTTCTCCGTTCCACTGGCTTTCCTTTTCTTTCCTCTCTTCGGTCTGGTAGTTTCTGTCTCTTGACTTCCTCCAGGTAAACAAAATGGGTGTTACTTTTTTTTCCCCCACGGTGCATTATGGGTAGCGGTGCTGACACACGCTCTGCGCACTCGCATTGTGCTGGCAAAGGAAACACCTTGAGAGCCTTGGGCACGAACTATACTCCAGCATAGATGACAATGGACAGTCTCAGGGGAACAAGACTGAGTTTGTGATTAACAATGGATAGAAATAAACATGAAGTATTTTCAGTTTGTGGGAATGATTTTATTGGCACTCTCACGCAAGGTTTTCTCAAGAATTTTGGACATTTATCTTGACGCACTGTAGGCTTTTATAGAAAACCTCCTTTCGAAGGATATGCAGCAATGCAAGTAATGGAAAATTAGTACTGTATACAGTGGGAATGTGTATTTTTGCATGTCTCATGTCTTCATCAGTCTTGATTTTCTTCTGTAGCATTGTCATCTATGACATCTGTGAAAGCAAACAAAGACAGCGCTTTTTGGGGGGCACTACCATGAAAATTTCATTTTTAAAATGAAATACATCTAAGTCATGAATTGTCCTTGGAGGGGCAAAGGGACTTAAAGGGACATTTTAGCTTATTCTTTATTTTTTTGTCATCATGCAGTTTGTCTGTTTGGACTCTAAGCCGTGTATTTCTACACTAGTGTCCTGAATATTCACTGTGCTAATGTTGTTGTCATTCTCTTTCTCTCAAAAAAAGACATATCGAGGAATGACAGTGTGCGTGCGTGTGTGTTTGGCTCCGGATACAGTGATACAGCTCTCTTTAGTATTAGCTTTACTTTGGTCTCTGGATCTGAAAACTCTCCCACTTTACACAACACTGTTGACTTTCTTTGGTGTTTTTGTTTGACGGAGGACTCAAGACTCAGTTAAGACTCAAAGCTGTATCATATGTTGATCAATTCCCCATGATTCTCTGACTAAACTTAAGTAAACACAACATTGTAGAGTGATATTGAATTTAAAAAATGTAGGCCGCCCAGATGTTTGACCAGCTGTTTGCCTTTGAGTATTCGTCGGCAGGCCTATTTCAAAATTGCTGAGAATTGTGATAGTCAACGTAAAATATAGTGTGCCATGAAATGTAGACCGTAATGGACAGAAGTGGATTGGAACAGCAGTGAAAGCAAACACGGCTCATGTTTAACCTGCGAACACCCTTTCTACTGCTGGCCTGATACCAGATAATGTCCCGGACACGAGAGCCACACTGGATACCACAAAAGAAAACTGCTATTTGTTCAGCTTTGTTGAGAAAAGTGGAGTACGATGGAGCTGTACATATTGTTTTTCTGTCCTCGACCTTAAGCTAAGTGACAAAAAGCTGAGTTTTGGAATATTTAAAGTCAGCATTCGCTTTTCATTCTAGCTGACCTTCACTTTAACCATTCTTTTTTTTGGAGTGGAAGTGACTAATGTTGTTATAGCTCTTATTCTAAACCAGCTCTTTAGTTCTTTCAAGAAGTTCTACATTTTCTTTTATCACATACAGCATCAGGTGATAGTGACAAGGTCTGCCAGTGTAATGCCAGCAGAGGGTGCTGTAGGTTCATGGAGGACTAAACATTTAAGTTGACAGTGAATAGTAGAGACTGAGAGACATTCGGTCAATGTCCAACTCAGAAGGAAGGACATTTATAGCTTTGTGAGCAACCAGCGGGTGAATGAGTGCAAACAGGTTTTAGCAACGGTTTACAGCAGGAGGTAGTAATAAGCAAAAATACATACTTCAGTGGCTTGAGGACTTGTGACAACAAGTATCAGCGCTGTTGAAGGCACTCAATCATTTTGTGCTGACCCTGAACTCCTGCTGAAATGCATGCGTGTTTACACGCATGCATGCTTGCTTGTAGAAATTTTCGGCAAGATTCAAAACATTCAACCACCTTGAAAATGCCAAACATTAATTTGCTGGAATCGGCTTATCATTGGCGGGATATCGCTTGGCCCACAACTGAACTTCCCCAGCTTCTCCGCCGTGGACAAAACTGCCATTTTATACCTCTCAGATGGCTTAAGTGTGAATGTTGGAGGAAAAAATAGGGGAGAGCGAGAGAGTTCGAGTTGAAATCAAATCCCTTTAGCAAACAGCAAAAAGGTCAGTGCTGACGCAGACAGAACAGGCTGCCCTCCCTCAAGACTATGTTCTTAAGTGGCTAGTTTCTATTTGTAGCATTTTTTACCTGTTTACTGACTCCCCCAGTCCAAAACCAGGTAGCTGAGCAAACATACTGGAGGGTTTGGACGATCTCGTGTCATCACACAGGGAATACATTTCAACTGCCTGCACTGTGCTGTCAGACCGCAAAACGCATCATCAGGGCAAACGGACGCATGTTTATCAGAGCCGCGGTGCCCCTCTGTGGATTGGCTCCAGGATCCTCATTTCTCCTGATTATCTAATATGAGAATCCAGCTTTGAATTATTAATACTGATAGCAAATGAATTGCAGTTTCCTTCTAGATAGAATCATTTTACTTGATCATAGAGTTTTGTTTTATCCTCCATTTGATTAAAACATTATTTAGAAATGGTGTTTGTGATGAAGTGATTAAATGGGCAGGAAGTATAGACATTACAGGGCCTTGTTCTCTCTCTCAACAACATGATGCTATAATGTTGTTTGTTCCTGTTTCCTGAAAGAAACAGGAACAAAAAGACACAAACATAAAGAAAAGGTACATTCATTAACGTAAGATAGTTTTGTTGCCATCTGACTAAAAACGTCTTTGTTTACACAATTTTTAAAGGCGTTTTAAGTAGTAGTAGTATTAGCCAAATACACTTCATTTAAAGTGGAGACAGACAACTTTTCAACTCCAATTATATAAAAAGGATACTCTCTTTGGTTACCTGAGGAAAAAAGTGCTATCCTCTTCCTGTTTTGGTTTCACATGGTTGACGCACTTCCTTTGTGCCGTAAATCCAGCTTTCATTTTCCTGAGAAATCGTACCCGGTGGCAAGCATTATTGCGAAGTGAAAGAGTTGATCCTTTCCCACTGGACAGAAACCCACTAACACATACTAACAGCTGACTTTTGTCTTTAGTGGAAAAGTTACAATCTGCATTCATTCCCGGGACGAATGACTCCAATAGGCAGAGATGGAAACATGACACCCGGGTTGACGTGCCTTTTTCGGCAACTTCAGTTCTGCTACTTTTTGTCATCTCAGCCACAAATTTGAGTTGAAAAGAGATTGAATAAGAACATATACTATATATATATATATATATATAAAGGTAGTAAGTAGTATCCTACATAACAATTTCACTGTTTACCAACCCTGTTTTCCGTTACGTTCATGATGTCGAACGTGACACACCAAAAAAACAGAAAACACAAAGGCATACTTGCAGTCTATAGCCAATGGACGAGGAGTCCATACCGTATTTATTTTGATGTAAAAAACCTGCATGTTTACGCTAATTTGGGTGGAAAGGAGTATTACAGGGAACCAATCTCAACATCGATGATGTAATTTTTCCATAGCCATTCCATTGCTAAAAAAATCGTCTATCGACCCTTTTACAGCCGACATCATCAAAATCATGCGTGCATGTGTTGGCAACAGAGGTGGCGTTTGAGCCCCAGCCATTCAGATGAGTTAGCAGCATCAAAAGGTCTTGTTGTTGCATGTTCGATTGTGAGAATCAATATTCCAACAGCGGACCCATCGTCTACTGAATGGCGACAGGATCGCGACGTGAGCAACAGGTGTTGCAGTTTAACTAGTCACCGTGTGAACTCGTGACTTTCAGCCAAATGCGTCCGTGGTTGCTCCTAATAACTTACATAGATAATAAACACAAATGAGTATTTAAAATGTAGTGACCACTACTAGCAACCTTGACACACTGAGTCACCAATTAACAGGTCACTTGAAATGAAACACCTCTCTGACTGCAAGTTAATAAATGCGTTAACTGCCATTGGACTGATAAATAAAATCAAAATTCGGAGTCTGTATGTCATGTAATTGACGTTCTGCACATGACTACACATAATGTAAGCGTCTAGTGACTGTGTGCTTGTATTTTCCCACTGGTGTCACCTTCAAATACCTGTATATATCTGGCCACTAAATATAAGGCCACTTGCTAATGGGTTCTAACAACTCGATAATAGCGAATGGATCTAGAAGTCGGTCACCATTCGTCAAAGTCAATTTGTTTAAGTTGCATTCGTGATGTTTGGCGGTTAATGCCCTTGCATGTAGCTTGACAAGCTATTGCACTCCGCTAAGGGACCCTTGTTGCCAATTCTACACTGCTTACCACATGCTTCTTGGTGATCCACCTAAAATATGTTGTTAAGTTACGTATGTGACAGGTATCTTTCATTTGTATTTATTGGTAATTATTGGTTAGCTAGCTAGTTGGCTACCCAACAGTTAAACATAAAAGGCTCTGTTTTCTCTCCAAATCTAATGTTGAACGTTTTTGTGGCAAAAGATTATTTGATTTGGGGACCAGAACCCATGGGTTGACGATTTCATGAGAGCATTTTTAAGAGTGTAGTATATGTGAAGAATGCTGTAAAGACACCACTGTGGGCATCCTTCAATCATACTATTCTAGAATTGTAGCTTTTCATTTAATAATAAATTGGGTATTTGGGCCAAAGTAGTATACTGTATAGTAGCATTGAAGATTAGATACAGTGCCTACCTTGTCCTCGCCCTTCATCTTTTTTTAGGGACATGCCCACTCTACATACAGCAATGCCCAGAACACCCAGTGGTATTTTCATTCATTTCATCTCCCTCTTTCTCAAACTCTCAATGCTTTTCACACACGTCTTACAAAAACTGGATGTTCATTCGTGATAGTAACAAAAAAACACAATAAATTCATGAATTTCATAACTATGAAGATGAAAATAGTCTGGTCGTCGTGTCGTCTGTGTGCTCAGCCTGCCGTAAGCGACCAGATGAGCGAGGCCAGCAGTCAGACAACTATTTTTGGTCCGAGTGGAAAATTTCTA